TATTTTTTAGAGTGTATATTACCTACATTTTGATGAAAAGAAAAGAACTAAACTTTTTTTCTGATTACGTATAGCTCTCTTGGATCCCAAAATGTCCACGCTTGCTTCTTATTTATTAGCAAGCCTGTAATTCTTTGACCTGCAGATGTCCCATTTACTCAGACCGATCTAAATGCAAATATTTACTTCCACACCCTTGCGTACATGTGTGCACATAGACACATATGTGCAAAAAACGTCCACACATTATTTCCAGACTTAAACATTCACTCACTCTCCTTTGCTGCTGCAGCTAGAGCTGCTATATTTGGCGTGTCGTCGCACCTGCAAGAGCAAGAGCATTCAGAGATCAGCTTGAGCGTGACATCACAGGAAGTGGGAGGAAGGGAGAAGGTCACAAGGTTTTTCAGGATAACAAACATGTCGCTATAGCAAGCATTCGACAGCAGATCCGTACCGCATAGCGACTCTCTCCCACAGGCCCTCAGCGGGGAAACACTTCATTTCATCTTCTTGTAGTCTAGAAAAAACACTTCTGTGCTCTCAGAGCCTGTGTCTGTTCAAATGTTTTGTATTAAATGTAAATGTGTTCAAATAGAGCAGTCTGAGTGTCTTGACCCCAGACTAGTAAATCAGTGCATGAATGTTCTGGAAAGCCTCCAGTGTGGATTTGATAAAATCCTAATTCATTCATCCTCCATCATGCAGGGAGTGAAGAAACCCCACAGCAGCCCCGGGGCTTACAAAGACACAGTATGCTTCAAATATTTAAGTTTGATTTGAATATTCATCAATTCTGCAAACAGCTTTGGGTGGTTGATATGAAATTTTTTTCGGGAAACTGAAATGACCTGTGGCGTGACATTTATATACTCCATTTAAATATTTTTAATTGTTAGACTGTAGGCGCGTTTCCATTACCCTTCAAATTGCGCAAATTGAAATTGCGAATTGAAAATACTCCTAATGGAAACGCGTCAATTTCGCAAAAACACCCATATATCGCAAAAAATTTTTACGCTTGCATGAGGTGGTTTTTCAGGCAATGCGAAAAAGGAATAATTCGCAAAACTGCAATGGAAACGGCTTTTTTGCAATTACAGGTCACATGGCGTATGTAAAAAGTCATATGATCATTCTTCAACGTACTATAACCTCCAAGAAACACATCATACGTGGCCGCTCTCCCTACCATTAATGCGGTGCAGTGTGGCTTTGATATGGCCACTGAAGCTGATTGCGGCCACAATGCTTGTGTTTATTCCATAATCCAGCCGCGCCACGCACGTTTCTGAAGCGGCTCTATAAAGACACACGCATACGCCTCCTTTGGATAAATATAGCCAAAATCCCACCAAAATTCGTTGCCATGACTTATCGCGAGAGGCAAAAGGTTATGTTTTAGTCGCATAACATTGGTTAATAGAAACGCCGTCAATTCGCAATACTTTTTTTATCGACATTTATAAAATATCGCCAAAGTTTTGCGCAAATCTGTAATGGAAACGTGCCTAGTATTTCACAGTATTACTGTATTTTGATCAAATAAATGCATTTCGCAAAAACACCCATATATCGCAAAAAAGTTTTTACGCTTGCATGAGGTGGTTTTTCAGGCAATGCGAAAAAGGAATAATTCGCAAAACTGCAATGGAAACGGCTTTTTTGCAATTACAGGTCACATGGCGTATGTAAAAAGTCATATGATCATTCTTCAACGTACTATAACCTCCAAGAAACACATCATACGTGGCCGCTCTCCCTACCATTAATGCGGTGCAGTGTGGCTTTGATATGGCCACTGAAGCTGATTGCGGCCACAATGCTTGTGTTTATTCCATAATCCAGCCGCGCCACGCACGTTTCTGAAGCGGCTCTATAAAGACACACGCATACGCCTCCTTTGGATAAATATAGCCAAAATCCCACCAAAATTCGTTGCCATGACTTATCGCGAGAGGCAAAAGGTTATGTTTTAGTCGCATAACATTGGTTAATAGAAACGCCGTCAATTCGCAATACTTTTTTTATCGACATTTATAAAATATCGCCAAAGTTTTGCGCAAATCTGTAATGGAAACGTGCCTAGTATTTCACAGTATTACTGTATTTTGATCAAATAAATGCAGCCTTGGTGAGAATAAGAGACTTCTTTCAAAATATTTAACAAAAATGAACAACCCTAGACTTTTGATGTTCAAGTATTTTGCTTATTAACTAACTAACTAACTAACAGTTTTGTCTCATGAAATCTGTTTCCCATGAAAATGTGGTTTCTAGTGAATATGTGAGAATCTCAGCTATTGCAATGAACTGAACCTTGATACTGGTACTTTTGGTTTGGGAGTGTGAATTTTGCGTGTGTGTGAGTGCGCTTGCAAGCAGGTTTTTTGTTTTTTTTTGCACTGGTGCATCCTGTGTAAAACCTGTGTTGACTGCACTAACATGATACGACTCGCCTCTAACCCAACTCCCACACACATCCTCACTGTCTCTCTCTCTTTACTCTCATAGCATGTACAAATCTCTCCACTCATCCCCACATCCTCCCTCCATTTCCTGCTTTAATCTGGTTTTGATGGAACAGCCGTTATGCTGTCATTAGCTGCTGAGAGGAGAACCGGGCCTAATATCAGTCATTTCAGCCTGAGCACAAGCCTCACAGGGCTCATGTTCACATCGAGACTGTGCTGTTTCCTCTGCTGGTGCCACATACTCAGCATTTATTCGGCTAATCTTGACCATGTGTGCTTGTTTATTTCCATAAGTAAGGGTTCTACAGGTGGTGTGCAAACCTAATGAAGCAGGAAATCACACACACTAATTTAGTCAATGTGAATGTATAGTATGCACAGGAGTGTCTTTTTTATTTTATTTTAAATTTTTTTGAGGGGGCAATAGAAAAATATTTTTACTATTTAAAATAACTGTTTTCTATTTGAATATATTTTATTTCTAAGATTTCAAAGCTGAATTTTTAGCATCATTACCCCAGTCACATGATCCTTTAAAAATCATTCTAATATTCTGATTTGCTGCTCAAATACATTTATTATTATTATTATTATGTTGAAAACAGCTGAGTAGAATTTTTTCAGGTTTCTTTGATGAATGGACATTTTAGAAAAACAGCATTTATCTGAAATAGAAATCTTTTGTAACATTATAAATTTCTTTATCACTTTTGATCAATTTAAAACATCCTTGCTAAAAAGTATTCATTTCTATAATCCCCCCCAAAAAATACTGACTCCAAGCTTTTGAATGGTATAGTGTATGATGTTAAAAAATCTTTTTATTTCAGATAAATGCTGATCTTTTTGGATCTTTCTATTCATCAAAGAATCCTGAAAAAATTTACTCAACTGTTTTAAATAGTGATGATAATAATAATAATACAAATGTTTCTTGAGCAGCAAATCAGCATATTAGACTGATTTCTGAAAGATCATGTGACACTGGAGACATGATGCTGAAAATTCAGCTTTGAATCACAGGAATAAATTAAATGTTAAAATATTGTAAATTCAAATAGAAAGCAGTTTTTATTTTAAATAGTAATTTAATAATAATTTTAAATAGTAAAATATTTTACAATATTACTGCTTTTGCTGTATTGGGGTCAAAGAAATGCACAAGCCACACACACGGTTTTGATCTTCACTTGAGGGTGGGTGTGACGGGGCTGACAAGACGTGAGACGAGCGGATCCATATGCAAGCTTTTTATTAGGAGAAGACAGAGACGTGGTCATAAAACAGGCAAGGGTCAGATAATGGCAGACAGGTATATGGCGGACAAAACACAAAAGTAGTCCTAGGGCTAGCGTAGGTCGACGATCGGCAGACAGAATCACAGGGGCGAGACTAGAGGGATAAATCCAGGGAAAACAGGCAAAGATCCGAAACCGCGAAAACAGGCAAGGCAAAACAAGGAAACCACAGAGACTAGGAATGGGGTACGGGCTAAACAATACTCAGCAGAGAATGGCAGTTTGAGTGGGTGTTATATAGTGAGTGAGGTGATAATAAAAAGCTGAGTGCAATGAGTGCAATCAGTGCAGTGAGTGCAGTGTGCAAACCGTGCAATGAATGATGGGATATGTAGTCCGGGGTGCTATGCAACAGTATTGTTTTGTGCGAGAGCCAATGTAAAGGAAAGGGTGACCTCTGGTGGTGAATAAACGGAAGTCCATGGACCGAATTCGTGACAGTGGTAAATGATGACTGAATCTTTAGTTTAAAGAAAGGTTTTAGACAAGGAGAAAAAAAAGACTTATAGACAAAAACTTTACAAACAAATGATTAAAATTATCATTATCAATTATTTAATTTTTTTTACAATTTTTTTTGGCAAAATGCACTTTGTTCAATGGGCATGTGAAATATTGTAACATTAATCAGATTATCTATCATGCATTTAAACACCAAAATGTTAGTCAAAACTAATGTTTTTCTTAATAATTTATTTAGTAATAAACTGATAAAACATATTTATGTACAATTTGACATTTATACAACTTTATCAATTACTAGGATTTTAGCCACTGTTTCTTTTTCTGTCGGTTTTACAAATCATTAGTCAAATACATATTTTCAATGTAATATAAATTACCATACAAACTGCATACCTAATAATAATTCTAAAAATAAAATAGAAAATATTTATTTATACTTATTTTATTTTCTGCACTATTGCTCTTTACTTGGAAATTTGATATTATAGTACTGCTAATATTGTTGTATTCTTTATGATAAATTAAATTTTTTCCTTATTTGTAAGCTTTGAACAAGTGCAAAATGATTGTTCATTAATGCTCATTACTGTTTAAAAAAGTCACTCTGCTTTTTCATACTAGGATGTGTTTACTGTAGAACGCATGCATTAACTTGACTTTTAAAAAAGGCTGCATTAAGAGCATTAAGTACAGAGACCAGTCAAGATTTTTAAGGATGTTCCTTTGCTCTGTTGCTAAAACTTTTGTTCGATGGTCCTTACAGATAGACTTGGAGCCAGAGGGAAAGGTTTATGTCATTATCGACTTGTCTGGATCATCCAGTGAAGGTAAGACAGTCTTGTAAACTTTCTGTGATCGCATTACATGTCGTTTAAAGACTGCATGAATCATGTCCCTGTGTAACCATTATACTCAATATAAGATTTCTCAGAAATACAGACATCTTGTGCTGCCTGATACAGTAAATACTCAGTTAAAAAAAGTTTTCATTGGTGACACAATGAACACTCAAAGCTCACTCAAATGCTACCATTATGGCATTGCTTGAAATGCAGACAGACTTTGCAAGTCTGTGCAGCTGCTCTTTCTGGAAGTCATATGAAGAGCTGCAACTTTCTGATCTTGATGTTGCCTCCAGTGTAGCTGTATATATTGAAAAAAGCCTCTGTGGTGCATGATCATTGGACCCAGGTCCTGCGTGACCTAATTCCACCCAGATTACTTCCCACATGTGCCTCTCTCATTGACACTCCCTACGGCCCAACTCCCATCAGACCCCTGCCTTTCCTGGATACACATCAGAGATGGCCCAGTTCAAGAGCTCCTTCATCCTCTCGGCTCCATTCCTGCTCCTGGAGGCAGAACATGTGACCACTTGTCTCTCACGCTGATCTAGATGCTGCATATCAAACATCTCCTTGTTTCTACACAGACGTTATGTCTACACCATCAGTGGTGGAATGGCGCAGTTTGCAAAACGATTAGCCAGGAATTTCTCAAGGAGTAGACTATATACTCTGGCTTCGTGTGGATGTAGCCTTAGCCTGAGGAAGCTTAATAATAAATCTGGAGAGAGCTATCAGTTAGCACTCCCATTCATGTCAATGGCAGGAGCTGCGGTGTTATGCGAGAGCCACAATATATTATCGATGCCGAGATTGTGCTTGCTCAAAATTCAGTGTCAAGACGCAATACTGCATCAAAACCAGACTGAATTTTACCTGCTTAGACCCACCTTCCCAGCTAACAGTGAATGTTTTTTAAAGTTACATAAAAGTTAAGACAAAACGTTCTTAAAGGAACATTCACTCATAACGTTGAGAGAAAAGGTTCTGAGATCAGCCTTCTTGGAACATCCTTATGTTATTTTCTAAGAATGTTTTTATAACCTTTAACGTTATAATCATGACAAGAAAACTGGACATTCTTAGAATATTAAAAATAACCAAATATTGTTATATTTTGGGTAAGAAGTAAGATGTTAGTTGAATATTGTAAGAAACATTTTAGTAACCTTTAAATAACGTTATAATGATGACAAGAAAACTGGACATTTTAACATTCTTAGAATATTAAAAATATCCATTCAAATAACATTAAATTGTGGGTGAAAGTAAAGTTAGTAGAATGTTGTAAGAAACGTTTTGTAACCTTTAAATAATGTTATAATCACAACAAGAACACTGGACAATTTAATGTTCTTATCATTATTATATCATAATTGAAAACTTTCAAATAACATTATATTTTGGGGAAAAAATATGTTGTTAGAAACATTTCTGTAACCTTTAAATGTTATAATCATGACAAGAAAATTTTTCAGCATTATAGAAACATTTCAAAACAATGTCCCTACAGCGTTTTTAACAGAATGACAGATAAAAAAAACACAGATAATAAAAAAATTCCACAGTTTTGAGCGTGTTGAGCTCCAGGTTGTTGAGACTGCACCAGACAGCCAGCTCTTTAACCTCCAGACAAAGGCAACTTTATTGCTCATAACTTCTGGAGTGAAATAATGCACAGATAATGGACAAAGATGAAACTTAGTGCGCATGTGACGAGTGCTTGTGTTCATGCACATTATCAAATGGGATGTTTGGCTCCATTTTCGGCTGCATGCCTACTTTGGCCTTTAGCCTACTAGCTTAGCATAACACTAACTGATCAAGTAAAGCCTTTTCGATTAGTTAATATTACAATAATGTGCTACATTTTTGATCAGGCGTTGAGGAAGAGGATAGGATTCTTCGTGGACACAGAAGCTTGTACAACACCGATGTTGTGACTCACCACTCACACAGCGAAACCAATAGGAGACAATAATAGTGCAGTGAAAAATCCACTAAAATTAACTGTAAAATAACTGTAAATTAAACTGAAATCTTTTATTTGTCAGAATACACTGCTTTTTTCAATGCCTTTTAATGGAGAAACATAATTTGACTACATTGGTGAAGTAAAATCAACAATGGCTAACAGGCTCATGCTAAACCAGCCTGCAACAAACAGAAACTCACTCAAAGCTGGTCTTATAAGAAGGGTGAACAAGCTTTTTTACATTTTGGTGGAACTCATTGTTAAGCCCAAAGTATACTTTGAATTGTATGTGTTTGTGTACAGTTAAATGGATTAGAATTGAGAGCTAAATGAAATACAACTCTGCATTAGCTGCAACTTTTCAGAAACAGGTCAGAAAGTTAGCATTGTGTTTCTGTGTCACACTCTTACTCTGTTTCAGACTGTTTTAATTGGACACTCACTCATTTCACTCTCAGTACTGAGAAACAGTCTACTTGACTCATATTTCATTGTGTTTAATCGCCGTTTGCATCAGGAAGTGAATACTTAACATTTCCTTTGCATGAAAGTTGGATGACTCATCAAAGAGTGGCAGAGAAGATGTGTTTATCAGCAGCTGCAAAAGTCTGGTCTGATGTTATAGATATTGATGATAAGCCACAACAAATATTAAAGAAAAACATTCAGTACATTTTCCCATTGCATCTGAACGTCACGGTTAATAGGCCTTTGAAGTGTATTGTGCATCATGAGTTTTGCAGATGCCATTCTGCGGTCTGTTTTCCAGTACAGTTTGCAAGCGTAAATCTGATCTGTGCATGCGTCAGCTGCATATTGGCACTGGTTCTTCTGATCAAATGGGCAGGTGGCTTTGGCTGATTTTGGGTTTTGAGCCTGATGGTTTGGGTTGATTTGAAATTGATCCCAGGGCACCCGTCATGCTCAGCAGTACTGAAATGAACAAAAGGTCACACAATGGGTCTAGTGCCAGGGTCTTTACAGCAGAGGAACCTGGGAGTCTGGCGTTCACCTCAGAAACCCACAGGCTGTAAATTTTGCCAAATATTAGAGCACCTCCAAACCTGTTACACTTTACATTAAAGGGGTCATGACATGGATTTTTTTATTATTTTAATATGTTCCTTGAGGTTTACTAACAATGTTAATAAAGTGTTTTGCACAAAAAAAAATAAAAAAAAATTGTGAAAAAAATGATTTTCAACCCTCTGTTTAAAATGACCTGTTTTAAGGGGCGGGTCCTTTAAGGCTTGTCAGAAATTGGCCACTGTTATGATTGGCTAACTTAATTGCATAGGAAACCATATCAATGCCCCCTTACATGCAAGTGTTTTGACAACATGATCAAAATTAAATAGTAATTTCCAGACAAAGCATTATGGAATCATTTACGTACGGTTTATGAGGCAGCTGCAGTCAGATCTAGTACCGCTTCATCTTTCAACAAATGTTTCTTTGACACTGTGCCTCGTTTACAAAACAAAATGACCCGATAAATCCTTAGACACAATCCGGGATGCCATTAAAAATAAACTATCCACTTGTTCCTTACGCTGGGGAAGTAGAGCATAACACTAGCAACCAGAAGGTTATGGGTTCAATTCCCAGGGAAGCTTACATACAATTACATACTTCGGTTTTTATTAGGGGTGTAACGATACATGTATTCGTATTTGAACCATTCGGTATGAGGCTTTCGGTTCAGTACGCAGAATTAGCAGCAATTTGGCATCAATTGATTGAATTAACAACAACAAAACAGTATGAAAAACTCACTTAAATTAAACATAGAATGTTTAATTTATTAACAAAATGAATACAAATACACCATGCTATAGGCCCAATATAAAATATCAAATATCTTACACAAAATTTAAATTAAATATAAAACATGGAAAATCAGCAAACATGGTGAAACCAAATAAATAAGAAACGAATGTTAAAAAGGCTTCCAAAATCATCTTAGATAAACGGCAAATGTCAAAAGGTTTTCCAAAGTCTAAAATATTTTTAAAGCAGGCGCTTTTGTATTTCGTTTCGAAACTAAATCTTTCGCCAACTTCTTGTCTTCTCACCTCACTCATCAGCTCGACTCTCGTCACATGATGAATGAAATCCGACTCCTGCAGCTGATCTGATGCGACTGTTGTTTGGCACACTGCATTGTTCAAAGTAAAAAAAGAAAAAGATCATACTTTATGATATTAGTTTTAATAAATAAAATTTAAAAAAAATCAAGGACATGTTTCTGGCATTTCTTTCTTTTTGCTGTATCGAATACGTACCGAACCGTGACACCACTGTATCATATCGAACCGAACCATGAATTTTGTGAAGCGCCCGAGGTCGTCACATGTGGTTGCCGCAAGCCCGCCGCCGCTCACTCTAGTCCGCCGTGTGTGACGCTGTGTTTCGTTGTGAAAGCGAAACTACTTTGTTTGGCATTCCGAAAGAGGACGCGACTAGAAATCAGTGGTTAAGTTGTATTTACAACACTGTTCCAGAACAGTTCAACCCAAATATTCAGATGTGTGCAGCACATTTTATGGAGGACTGTTTCCTGATCCTGGTAGAGTAGACTACAATGCCGGCTGTTCTGACTCACAGCCTGTAAGTACATTTTTTACATATAAAGAATTTGCCACTGACGATTCAAACACAAGTTTTCAGCAGTGTAGAGTAGCGCTTGTTGTTTGTAATTTCACCGATCACAAATGCAGACATGGTTTTATGTTTTCGCGGCGCGATGCAACGCGTAAAAAGACAGTATAAGTCATTATAATCTGTAATTATGTCCCCACTGGATGCAACGAATGGCTCGTTTATAATGGGTTTTCATGTTTTAGAATCATCGCTCTGGCCTGACATGGCATCACAATATGGTAAGGGGCGTAACATTTCCGTCTCACGCTTGAGGTCCTGATCCTGGGAGAGTAGACTACAATGCCGGCTGTTCTGACTCACAGCCTGTAAGTACATTTTTTACATATAAAGAATTTGCCACTGA